TATATGGGATACGGCATGCTGTGCCTTAGGTCACCCTTAACTTTTTCTCCCTCTTATTTTTGAAGCATATTCCCTCGTCATTTTCTGAGCTGCCTGGACAGCCAATGCTGTCTCGCTCTGCCGGCATTTTTAAGGGTTAGGGATAGAGATTAAATGCTCTTGGTTTAGGGGTTAGAGAGAGATTAAATGTTCTTATTTTGGGGGGTTACGGATAGAGATAAAATGCTCTTCCCAAATATAGACCCTGCGTTGAAATGTACGGTAGTAACGTTGTGTAACACCTCATCATATGTTAAAATCTACTAGTTACCCCAAGTCTCCAGTATTTCTTTCAAAGTATGAGAGAAAGTGGCTATATCAGAATCCTGTAGGAAAGGTAAAGAAAGGTATTATCTATCTCTTCTACGATGTGCCACATACTTGATATGAAAATCGGGGGGTTGCATTTGCAGTTATCTCTCAGTAGATACAGCTCAAGGCTCGGCATTAGGCACGCTTGTTCGGTCTGGGGACGCAAAAAAGCAAGGAAAAGAAGACCCATAACTAGCAAATGGCGCGTTATCTCGTATTTAGCCTATTACAATATTTTGAACAAACTCCCAGGCTCTTCCACTTCTGCAGGGGATAAACGAAAACCGGTTTCATTAGATGCAAGTCAAGCACGACGGGAGCAATTAAACTATCAACAAATCGTCCAATCCCAAACCCGATTTCCCACTTCATACAAAAGGAAACCTGGTAACTATTGCTGGCGTTGCGCAGCGGGGCGTCTTGACTTTTCAACAGAAGCCTTGTCGCGTTTCACCGAATGAGAATGTTTTCTTTGGCCACGGAGTGCACTCCAAAAGCAGATCTCTGATTCCTCGTTCTTTATGATTTATCATAAACTCATGCACGCCTAAACAACTGTGAGTGTTGACCTGGGCGAACTAAATCTGTGACTTGAACCCAAAGGCGGGAAGCCTTCGACGCCACCGGTTGATCTCCTTTGGCGCTGGGGCGCTTTTCTTGGTGAGGGTATTTAGTTGAAAGACAGAGAGATCTATGAGATTGCACATGGGTCTGTCTTGCAACAGGTGTTAAGTCGATCCTTTGAGTCATTTGAAATTAGCTTTTCGGAGTAGTTTAATTTAACTAAGGATAATTGATCTAATTAATCCTACTTTTACATGAAGCTCGGTGGGTGGCGAGCCTTGGCCGGCATAACTTACTCAGTGCAACCAACAACCTAGCAGATTCAACAAGGAACCGTCTGGTTCTGTTCCCTCTCCGTACTTGACGATGCCCACCCAACACTTCTTTTCCCTTTGAGTTGGTGCCAAAGTGATAAAAACCAAAGGGGTGATCACTGCAGCGAGGTAACTATGGATATTAAAGCTTGTATGGTTAACTATAGTTTATGGCTTCAGCCACCGAAGCAAATGAGATAGCACCCCACAACCCAGCCAACCCCCCAAAAACAAACCCAACTCCAGGCCAGATTGACGACTACCTGTTCTAATAAATGAGCTGATCTGTCAAATAAACAGGATGTTTTGCGTCCAAATGGCTGGAACACCCTACACTGATGTCCGCCTCTCCCATAGAGCTAGTATGGGTATGATGGCTTATCCACTTTGAATATCACAGTTTCATGGTTATGAGAAAAATCTTGTAGAGGGATAAAAAGGGGGAGGGAGATGAATCCAGTTCTCATCAGCAATGAGCAGATAGGAATCAGTCAACATGATTCTGCATATGCACCCTGAACTGTGTTGCTGTTGCCCCTCACTACAGTCATCACACGACAAAGAAAGCATGAGTATGAGAACAGGAAGGCCGTTGTAAGCAAGAGAAGGAGGGCGAGAATGACATCTCTCCTGGAACTCCTCTTCGCCTTCATCACTCTCATCCCCATCAGCTTCTTGCTTGATCAAGCATCCATTCATTTCAAGGTTCAGTCATCACATCTTAAGAACCAGCTCAGCCCTCTCCAACTGTGCAACGCTCGCTTACTTGCGTACCTGCTGTCAAGCCCACCTGCAGCCACCGCAATCATGGGATCCTATCACCAGGCGAACCGTTCAGGCAAGCAGGGTGAGGATCAGGAATCGGCGCGTTTTCGTCTTGATAAAATGACGAGGATCCTGATCCAATTCCAATTTCCACCTGTTGAATCACAAGAATACAAAGAGCAGACTGCTAGCCGTCGAAGCCGTCCGTTTATGAAACCCAGCTCTCCACTGTTATGGTTGATACTCCTCTGCTTTTGCGTCTTCTTTTTTTTCAGTAGTAGTTTGTTTTATGCGCTTTACACCTGCAGCTTCGACTCTGACGACATTTCTGCAGCTAAAACTCAGCCACGCTTCTCTTTTTTGCCCCACAAAGGAGGCTTGAAGGGGTACTATAACAACCCGCCTATCTTTCTTGCTAAGCAGTTCACGACGACAACTACAACTACAACTACAACAACAACAACAACAACAACAACAACAACAATTGCTGACACCGCTGATACTACTTCCGCCGCCCTTGCTATTAAATCTCCTGTTGATATCGTTGTAGTTGACAAACGTCTATACCTCCCCAAATACGAAGATTCGTGTCCCAATCCATCAGATCCACCAGATCCACCAGTCAACATGATGAATCCAGGGTTTAGGTCGGTCGTGTATTTTGTCAACTGGGTATGTGGTTGAGATTATTTCCCCATCTGTTTTCGTTAGTTGTTGGTCATCAAGTTATTTTGAATATGTGCCACCTTACACCCCAGGTATGCACCGTTTCTCGAGTTGGACTACAAAATCTAAGTGCATGTTAGACGTGCTTTCTATTCTGAAGCTTCATAGGATTCATTGTTTGGCAATCCTATGTTCTGTATGATATCCTGCACTAACAGACATAGAATTAGCCTTTTTTTCTTTTTTTTCTTTTTTTTTCTTTTCTCTATATGTTTTTGGTTTGAATGGTTTATCTTCTTGCATCTTTCAGCATTTAACTAACCATTGATACAGGCAATCTACGGTCGTAACTATAACCCACAAGACTTGCCAGTGGAGAAGCTGACGCATGTTCTGTACGCGTTTGCGAATGTCCGCCCAGAGAGCGGAGAAGTGTATGTTTTCTCCGCTGTGGTCAGCATTAAATTACTCAATTAGTCGAGTTTAAGAACAATTCTAACTCGCACATTCCGCGGCCTTTTACGTTAGCTACTTGTCCGATACTTGGTCCGATATTGAAAAGCACTATCCAACCGATTCCTGGGAAGATGTCGGAACCAATGTGTATGGCTGCATCAAGCAGCTCTTCTTGCTGAAAAAGAAACATCGGAGTTTGCATGTGCTCCTCTCCATCGGGGGATGGACATATTCTTCCAACTTCGCCCTACCTGCAAGCACCCCAGCTGGTAGAGCCAAGTTTGCTGAAACTGCTGTCAAGTTACTTCTTGATTTGGGATTGGATGGTAGGTGTTATCCCTAGTAACATAAATGAAGACAGGATACGTCAAATTGAAGTCGACTAGAAGAAACTAATAAAATGCTTTTGCGGCTTACAGGACTTGATATTGACTGGGAGTATCCCAAGAGTATGGATTCACTGCTAAAGTTCTTCACACGCCCAGTGAACGTGCTAATACCAATATTAGATGATGGCGAGGCCAAGGACTTTGTGTTGCTTCTAAAAGCGACACGAGAGGTATGGTAATCTTGTGTTCCCCGGCTATCCAACCTCTGTGAATCTGACCATTAATCCTTCGGTCAAAATAGGAACTTGATAGGGTAGGTAGGGGGGATCGCAAGTTCTTGTTAACCATCGCTTGTCCAGCGGGTAGGTATATAATACAATATTACGACGACCAGCTTGGTTGTATCACTCCATCATGGTTTCCTGCCAAATTATTAATTTCAATTATGTAGGCCCCGAGAATTATCGAAAGCTACGCCTCCAAGAGATGACCCCATATCTGGACTTCTATAACCTCATGGCCTATGACTACTCCGGAAGCTGGGACACCATAGCAGGTCATCAATCAAACATTAAACCCTCCACATCGAACCCCAAATCAACCCCGTTCTCCACTGAAGCAGCCCTGAATTACTATATTGGCGTCGGCGGCGTACCAGCCTCCAAAATAGTCCTAGGAATGCCGTTATACGGACGCGCCTTCGCCAATACCGATGGTCCTGGGACTCCCTTCCATGGCAATGGCGGCTCCGGCAGTTGGGAGACCGGTATTTGGGATTACAAAGTTCTGCCTAAACCCGGTGCGGGAGAGCAGATGCTATCCATTCGTAGTGGTGAATGTGGTGCAACTTGGAGCTACGACAGGCTCTCTCGCACGATGATTACCTATGATACTGTGTCGATGGTTGAAGAGAAGACCAGGTATCTTATCGAGAGAGGCCTTGGAGGGGGAATGTGGTGGGAAGCGAGCGGGGATAGGGATCCCAAAACCGGCAACAAAGCGAATGGGAGCCTTATTGGCACTTTTGTGGAAGAGATTGGGGGAACTTCGAAGTTGCAGAAGGTTCAGAATGTATTGTCGTTTCCGGAGAGTAAATATGATAACTTGAAGAATCAGTTTCCTGGGGAGTAGGGAGGCGTCGTGGATAGCAAAATGTATCGAAAGGCCATCTGTTCTTTTCTGCAGGATGTGTTTAATTGTTTTTTGTCTTTATCAAAACATTTGTTTGGCATGTATTAACCTTTTCCTTTCACATATGGCTGAATGGGTGATGGTCACATGCTCTTCTCCCTTTTTGTTACAAGTCATACGCCTCCCATTTGTCAGTAACAACTCAACAAGATGGAAACAATAAGGTGAGCAATTAATGACAGCAATGATTCACATGTATACGTTATCTCCTCCATACTGGATACTAGGTACTTGATAGGTCCATTTAACAAGAAACAAGGCGGTTTAAGATTCAATTTTGATTGCTCGTCAACTAGATACAGGAAGGTATTCATTTTTCCCCCATCCCATACCTAACAGGCATTTAACTCAGAAATCCCACCATCTATTTGGACTCATCAAAGACGTAGGTAAGATGGCACTTTCCACAGTACTGGCGGTTGGTCATGGAAGCCATGAAAACACCGGCTCCGCACTAAGACAATTTTAGCAAATGGACACAATGATGCACACATGTACATAGACACACACGCAACATACCTCAGGAGTGGGGCACTCGCGGCGCAGACGCTCGATCTTTCCATCACCATCGACCTTGTAATACTTGAGGACGGCAAGCTTGGTCTTCTTGCGCTTGTGCTTGATCTTCTTGGGGGTGGTATAGACCTTCTTCTTGCGCTTCTTGCCACCACCACGAAGACGCAGGACGAGGTGGAGGGTCGACTCCTTCTGAATGTTGTAGTCAGAGAGGGTGCGACCGTCCTCGAGCTGTTTACCGGCGAAGATCAGACGTTGCTGGTCGGGAGGGATTCCCTCCTTGTCTATGCGGGTGAAAATTACGTTAGATTTTTCATGTTCCCCTTCTCTTCTTTTTTTTTTTTTTTTTTTTTTGGGGGGGGGGGGGGGGGAAATTTGTGCCTGCTGTGAGTAGGGTTAGATTTTCGTACCCTGGATCTTAGACTTCACATTGTCAATGGTATCAGACGACTCCACCTCGAGGGTGATAGTCTTCCCCGTAAGGGTCTTGACGAAGATCTGCATTTTGACGAAGGCCTATAGCAGTGATTAGTTACCATATCTGAATTGCTTGTTGCTTGATGGAGGATGTATGTCGATGAGGCAAAACGCAGTTGGCGGATAAACGGGTCCGGCAGATAGAAATAGAGGTCCTGAGTATGGGAATATATAATATATGGGGATGTTTATTCAAACTTACCTCGACAAATTGTCTTCCTCAACCTTCCTATGCAAATCGTTGATGATTGTTTCAAGATACAACAAATAAGCAGCGCACAGGTTTAAAATACCGGCGGGTGGTTTGTGGATCACGTGGAAATAATTCTGAGTAAGCTCCCACGTGATCCATACCGATGGTCCTAAACCTCGCTAAACCCGATCGGGAGGTTGCCGGGCCAACGATCTTTGTTTGGAACCCGCTTTCGATCTTGAACCGACATTTTACTATGACAACGATGCTTGAGAGAACTCCATAATTTGCACTTCCCACTGCTAACCCAACATTTGTCTGTTGATATTTTCCTTTCGCTCACTATTACAAAATTCTTTATTTACCATCTTCTTTCGCTCCTCCGCTTTTGTTGATAGACGACAATTTGACGCTGTTCTATACGTGGGGTCGAACACCCTTGCACTCTGCTACCCCGTTTCGCCCCCCATCTGATATCGGTTTTGACCCATATTGATCCAGGGTTGGTTTATTCAGAATCTTTGGTACATTCCTTCTTGCTTTGCTACTTCCTGACACCACTATAGGTCGTTCGTAGCGTTGTTTCGTTTCTTTTTCATCAGGCCATGATTTTTCAAAACAAGTCCCTATCCCACTGCTACTGTGTGTATGATTGAATTGAAGGATTGCATGCATACATTTGTGGGCCCACTGATCTGTTAAAATTACCTAGGCGACACATAGTCTCCAGAAGGTACTCTGAAAATATAAATTATAGCTTGAATTGAACGGAAGAGCGCATTCGAGGCGTGGGAAACTTCTCCTCACCTTCCGATCTGCCGCTCTATGATAGAGCAGATATGCAGAGCTATCATTCGCACCGAAGAGGCTTAAGTCTGGACGACGGGCTCTTGGGACGGCGTCACCATGCGCTTCCACATCCTCCTCCTTCCTTTCTTAAGAGCCCAAGTCTGCCTCAGTTCCCGGATATTGTTCCTCAGCAGTATGAGAGCCCGACGGTCCAACGACCAAGCACTCCCAAAAAGCAAACTGGTTCCGGTGGGTCACCTTATTATCGTCATCATCATCATCATCATGGTGATTATATGTAGCTGACAACAAGAAGAATCACTTCCCCTAACACCAGCAACAACACCATTCCGGCGACCGAATGACTTTTTCCAGAATTCCGCGAGTGTTCAGCTCTCGCCAACAAGGCAACACGCAGAGAAATTTGTCGCAAATAGAGGCAGTTCCACATCATTGCAACGGGCAAAAACGGTCCAAGGGATTGTTCGGAGCAACTTCTTTCAACAGAAAAGCCATGTTCTCTCTCCATCAAACACCACACTATTCGACCCCTTGGATACCTTCACCACCCAGTTACCTGACCTTGGAGACGATGTATTTCCTAATTTCACCTTCCATCATGCAGAAGATTTAAAAAATATCTCGGTTTCATTGGACCCGCCATCTTCTCCTGTTCACTCCGTTTTGAGTTCCACGTGCCAGACTACGGATACTCCGTGCTCAGGAGTTCGCCCTGACTCTTCTCGTCCCAAAGTGCCGATTATGCCTGCTGTACCCCTCATCCCTACATATCCTCAAACGGCTAACTCAAGTCCTTGTTCACCGCTGCTGAAGGCGCCTTTATCGCCCCGCCCGGTGTCAATTGCTGACTTGAACCTGGGCTCCAACGCCCACGCCTCCATTGAAGAGACAGGCATTACAATTGACGACATTGCTGCATTTATCGAGGGACCTGATGGGGTCGACAAAAAATGGGTATGTACGTACCGGGGATGCAACAAAAGGTTTGGAAGGAAGGAAAATATCAAATCCCACGTCCAGACGCATCTTGGAGACAGACAATATAGATGCAACCACTGCAACAAATGTTTCGTTCGTGGCCACGATCTCAAGCGCCATGCTAAAATCCATACAGGAGTTAAACCCTACCCATGCGAATGTGGCAACAGTTTTGCACGACAGGATGCCTTGACGAGGCACAAACAGCGAGGAATGTGCAGTGGTGCTTTTAAGGGAGCTGTACGAAAAGTAGTCAAACGAGGTAGGCCACGAAAGAACAGGCCAGAGCAGGCCGAACGGCACAATAAAGCCATCAGAGCGCGCATTGGGGCGAGTGGAAAATCTTATGCGAGTTCAATTTCGGAATCATCATGTACTACACTCGCCTCTCCCCCGAGCGAAAGCAATGAGGCCGAAAGCGTACTAGATTCGAGTCGTAGTGAGGACTTTCCATATCTGCACAGTGATGGATTCGGTTTACCTCCCGATGTCTTTACCTTCACGCCTCCTGCCTCACCAGGTTTCAGCACTGGAAATCTACCTTCACCGGCGCGAAGCTTCCGTTCAATGACACCCACCTGGGAGAGAAACTTTCTCTCTCTCTCTCCGACAAAAAGACCTCTTGATGATATCCCCGAAGAAATCCCAGCTATCTCGCTTCTTGCCCCAGATTCCCCGACCCCGGTCAAAAAGGGACGGCCAGAATCTTCCTTGCAATTGTGGCTGCATTCGTCTACGGAATCAGCATTCGCTGCTGAAAATGCGCCGGACTTCGATGTTTTCGCCAGCCAAAGTCAACATTCGAACGTGACTTCCATCTCCGCCACTCTTGACCAGAGCCAACTTGCTTCTCTCCAGCTTCCATCAACGGTCGGGATCCTGCCAACAGAAGCCAGTGACTCACTATCATCAGATTATGAACCCTTCCTAACAAGCTCTTCCTCTCAACACGATAACACCAGCGAACTCAATCTCAGTTCGCATTTCCTTTCTGGGCCTTTCTCTCAGTACTCTGAGGATTTTTTGAACAGTTTTGGTGGTGAAATCGATAATGAAATGTAATTTGGTTTTATTGATATGGATAGCAAGATGAAACACCACAGCTCCGGTTGGTTATGACACTAACTTGAGTTTAGTTAACTAGCATTTTGAAACGCATTTTTAGCACGTTCCACGAGTAACTCGCTAATGTGTAACTAATATAATTTTTTGGAGGGAATGAATGTATTCCATGGATGCTTACGATAGACATGACTAAGCCTTCTATTTTGCTTTTTGGGATGGTTACGTTCGTATACCTGTTTGTTTATGGCCCCATCATATTTCTTGTTCTGAGTTGCAAATACCTCTCCAAATAACAGTTGCTTTTCTTTTTCTTCCCCTTTTTGCCCTTTGCCCTCCCCTCCCTTGGGGTTTGTATTTCCTATCCTGGTTATTTCAATCTTCATTTTTTTTTAAATATCAACCCTTCTATGTTAGCGCGCGAACTTGCAAATTTTCGAAATGGGAGATGAATTAATTTCTTTCAAGGGCCTATTCGATATTTCTTGACTTGTATTTTGGTAGATTATTTTGCGGCACGGCTCTTTCTTCTCCTTTGGTCTCCTTTTCTGCAACTTAGGATTAATGTGGGGTTGTATTGAATTTATGGGTCAACAGATCAAATTATGCTTTATGAGATCAAAAATATATTCTTAGGTTGATTGTTGTTGTTCTTGTTGTTGTTGTTGTTCTTGTTGACTTTTTCGGAATACTGGGAGATTTATATAAACTTACATAACTAATGGAAATTCTGATGATCTAAAAAGGCCCAAAATGACGAGTTTATTACTGCAAGCACTACGGTCAACCTTCGGGATTTGGTTCGTACGTGCTCGTTCCAGCAGATTTGGCTCCCAGGTAGATCGTCACACTGTATTTTTGGAGGTACTTAGGAAAAGTGTACGGGAATTCGACGGGCAGTTTAAATGCTATTCTCTTGCATACAAAGAGTAGTACCTCCAAAAACAGTGCCGCATTCAACAAGTAAAGTGGGAATAAGAGCCACCGTAAACCCCATCATGTTCAATGTTGACATGTTCTCATCCATCAGGTTTCTCTGAGTAGGAAGGGTTGGTTTAGTAGCTTGGTGATTGACATTCTTCTTTGAGAGTTTGGCAGTAGACGTCAATGAAAGAAATCATATAACTAAGATGCTGGATGTTCTCAGCACTAAGGACAAATGATAACCTGTTCATCAGGTGTTTTGTGAAGTTCTTTCTTATGCATCAGATCATTCTCATCAAGAAGCTAACAATGATAAGCATATTCTTTGTCAATCTGTTCAGCTGTGAGGCTAAAAGTTTCTAAGTGAAATAATGGCTCTCATTTGTCGCCAATTCAAATATCCTTAACTATACAAGGGTTAAATTGAAGATTAGGTTTAGATACAGAGCATATAAAACACTTCAGGCCCAGATATCTACGCGAGCATCCCAGGCGTCTCAGTAGATTAGCTTAGATGCATATAAAACTATCAGTGTTGACTGTTGATCATATTATCTACTTTATATATATAGATAATGACATGAGTTCTTGTATCAGCTCTAGGTTTGATATAACAATGAGTATATCTCAATTTAAATCATTAATCTTAATTAAAATCATCATTAAGTCTGTATTGTTTAGTTCATTATGATATCTCTATATAGTTATCAAATATTTTAATATACTGTTATCTATCTTTATTCATTTTAGTCATTTAATGGTATTGAACTTGAAAGACTATAAAAATATCGTACTATATAATTAAAGCCTCGACAATTGAAAATATTATACTTACAAGTTATATATCTGTATTAAGTCAAAATACTATTAACTTTTATATCTCAAACATTGACCTACTATAATAAATAATATCTAACTTATTAGGAAGTTGAAATTCAACAAAACTTATTTGAAAATAATTTGTATGTAAACTATCTGATGTAATTTTTTACTGACAGTCATTATTTCATTATCAGATATAAGTATATATTATTTAAATTATCGTATTCAGAATGATTCGACAATTTAATATTGTACTCTTCACTAGAACGATCTAAATTTAGAGTAAATAATTTAAAAAACATAACAAGCTCTTTATTATTTATGAAAGTATCTACTTCAATATCTTCAATGCAATAAGTTGCTGAAGTCTTAAACGTAATAGTTAATTATCACTTGAGAAATATGATCTGCTGAAAGACAGACTCACAACTCATACTGTTGAAAATTGACAAAACACTAACTTTTTGATAACCCCATACCTCTGATCAAATACATTGTGAAGGCATAGCCTCTCTGGTCCATTAGCAATAGCTGTTCCGGGGTTTCCGCTGCTAAATACCAAGTCGGAATATCTCCCAATAGAAATCCCACCCTTTTCCATGACCTCAATTTCACCAAGCATGGTTCGGTTTGGCATTCCGCAGCGTCCATAACTTTAAGAGCTGGTGGTTTAATGGACAACCCAAGCGATAGTTCCAACTTACGACAGCTAAACCAAAGTCTTCCACGACAAGAAGAGCAGCTAAAACTACTGATGGATATCAATACAAGTAGAAGAAGACAATTCTTCGGCGGATTGTGGGATGTATAGCAATGGCACCAGAGATCAAAGGCCAGGTATGTCGATCCTGGTACAAGGAGCAGCAAGGACGATATCCAATGATTTCCGCTATTGATTTGAAAGCAAGCTCTCTGAGAAGGATTGTGAACTAGAGCAATTTGGAACAACCCCATAGAAGGTAGCGACAGTTGACATTTGTAAGTTTCAATTCTTCTGCGTGAGCATCTTCATGTGAATACTTGCGCCCAGCGATGCCAACAGTTGGTTCCTCTGACTGATTTTGATTTTAGAGGATCACTTCGTGGCAGATCAGTCTCCTCCATTTGTTTCCTTTAACAGCGGCATGTTGGATGCTAAAGATAGTTGCTATATAGTTGCTATATTTTTACGAATTGATTCCATGGACAAGAAAGACAACGACATAACAAGCCCCCAAAATTGACCTCCGAATAAACAGCTCTGGAGAAACATGAACCATTGAGATTGATACCTTACAGGGCAGGAGTCTCAAGGAAATGAACATTCGCTCCGCCCTCCTGTCCCCAGCTATCTAGCATGTGAACATAGGAAGCGCTGGCGGATTCATATTCTAGGAAAAGGGAAACAAATCACGCTTGAAACTTTTCCAAAATCGAGCTTCCCAGCCTAACAAACGGGCTAGTTGCCAATTTAAACGCAACATGATCTTCACGCCACTAGGAGAAGTTGGATGTACCGAGATATAGAAAACAGAAATGAAAATCTGGGAGATAAGAACAGTGGCAGTTGGAGTGGAGGGCCGGAAATACGATGGCGTTATTGTGGAGAGACGGTGAGGATAATCACATGCAGAAAGTTGTCACATCTACCCATCATCCGTGCAGTTGAAACAGAAAATGAAGGTGTAGGGAAATAAACATAGGAGGTATGATAAAGCGAGCGGACATGTTAAACAAAATTATGGATCCCACCATCCATCTTCTCCGGATGGTAAGTTGCTCAAACTTTGCTCGGGTAACTTAACTAGGTCAGAATGGAAAAGCAGTGGAGGGAGGGCAAGCCGATTCGCCAAGCCACCCTCCCCCTTTATGTCGAGGTTGTTGATAAGATCATCTATAACAGCGTGCCCAAGATTTGATTTCTCCTGTGTGGTTTAGTTATCGATCGATGGTTATCTCAGTGCGACACCAGATAGGAATCCGTGCGAATTCACGGATTAAAGCCCAGGATTCAACGGAGTTGTTGTAGCCGGCCCCATTAGTTGTTCCGTTCGCAAGACCCGTGGATGATTTATGCACTGATCAACATCATAACTCATAGTTGTGTAAAGTCAAAATGCATGAGTAAACTAACTATTAAGCGGAGCTTTGTTGACTTCTCGCATCAAATTGGGGAAAAAAAAAAAAAAAAAAAAAAGGGTCGGGAGGAGGGGAAAAGATCAACATAAAAGCCAGACTCCGTATGAAGGGTAGTTAACCACCCAAGCTAGTGTCCCTAAGTCCACTTTTAACATTAGTAATAGTTTTGTTTGGATGTCAATTTTGGTCGGGGTTTAGCACTGTTGATGCAATTGTCGAAGTTGTTTTCGCAATACACACCCCACCCTATCCCGTTGCTGCTGTAGAGTTTGCTGACACCGAAGAAACGTGTCACATTTTCTCATGCCTAACCGTCGCGGCACAGAGCCTGCATAGGGCAGGGCTCTAACTCCGTAGTTAGTTACATAGTTACATAACCCATTAGCGGCTGGCCCACATGTTGCGCTTGTTCGAGTCGTCTCCACTATCACATGCTGGTTGCGATTTGGGCGGGGAGAGAGGTTCGACTGACATAACACGAAGAAGCACTTGGGGAGAGACCGGAGTGAAGGCGTTTTCTCATTTGCTTGATCATATTTTCAATGCAGCAGCAATAGTAATCACAGGCTAACAGCTCAAAATCCACTATCCCCCATCCATGCCTGATCCCTCTCCCAGCGAAGCACAATCATTTAGGATACCACAGCAATAGCTGATTGCGTTAGTTACTGGCGTCTACATTTGATATTTCACAATGAACAAAGTTTGATCCCAATGCAACTCGGACAGCTGCTGTCTCTTTCATGGGTGGGCGCTTTCTCAGAGCTGAGCATGGATTCCAACAAGGAATTGAGTTTCACCTCTACGAAGTGCGTTTGTGATGCATAGCTGGGCATTGCTGGGCATTGCTCTGCATAAGAACCCCCGTTAGATAGAGTCTAGAAGGATAGATCGACGACCTCAACCTCATGTCGCTTAGCGTTGGGAGAGTGGAGATAACAGTTGTCGAGATCCAGTGGACATAGTGATACTGACCAGAGCAAGCGTGCTCCTTTTGCGTTTTGCGTCTTGAGCAGGATTGATCCATGGATGATTTAAGTTAGTCCAACCACTTGGGGGTGCCAATGGGCCTTTCCAATCACGTAAAAATAAGAGGATGAGATCTTTTCGAGGCAACGGCTATTTTGACCGTCAAGCGACCCGCTTCATGGCTGTGAAGCATAAATCTCTGCAGACGTTGTCAAACAGCTAAGCCCTGTTCCAATGAAGATGTTTAGCAACTAATTAATGTCCCTTAAAAAAAGGAAGCAGGATGAAGAAATTATAGAATGACAGATTATATCCATGTCCCTCATGTCCCATGTACAGAAAGACATATATGTCTACAGGATTAATGTATATAACTAGATGTACACATCCCGCCTCTCACCACCGCTTGGAGGCGGCAAGAGATAACCAGACCACCGCATCATCGTCGAAGCCTCCGGCGTCAAACCTAGATCCTTGATCCTCTCTGCTCTGGAGGTGTATATTCCCCTAGGCTAGTTGGTAGCTAGCCCTTGGCCACTTTCACATGCTTGCAATGGATGGCGATAAGTGGCTTCACAAGCTCAGTCTCTCACGCCTGGGTTTCGCGGGGATTGATTCGCTGCGAGGTTGGAATCTAGAGCCTGGTTATTAGAGGAGTTTGAGACGACGAGGACTGGAGAAATGAGGGAAGTCGATGTGCTAGTTAACCCTGAACCTTGGCCGCGGAGTTTGCCGCTATTGTTTTCTGGGTTGGGGATGGGAGGAGGAAGAGGGAAGAAGAGGGCCCCAAGGTTTCTTAATAATTAAAACCCATTCCCCCTCCTCTTTTCCATCCTTCTTGTATTTTTTTTTTCTTTTTTCCTTTTTTCGTCTTTTTATTTTCTCTTTTTCCGCTCTCTTCTTTCGTATATATATATATTCGTGCGTACTGTAGCATATAATTACGCCTGGTTCCCCCTTCCCAGTGTTCAAACAGGCCTACATTCGGCCTTCTATTCTTCGATCATCTGCTATACCCGAGGTATGTTGTTTACCAATAATAATTATATGCTCGCTATGCTAACGAACAATTCTCTCAGTTTCATATCTCATATACAACCAAAATCCAATATGGGCGAACCAACTGTCAACGGCGAAAAGCCATCCTCTCAATTCCTTCACGTACGTCCTCTTCCCCCCTTCTCCTTTCCCCTCCCCTCCCATCCCGCTTTCTCCAGACTCCTCGCTAACACCCCACTCCACACTCCTCCAGGAACTCGCCACTATTCCTCTGATCTCAGACTCTATCACCTACCTCAAAAGCAACCCATACGGACAGAAATCCCTTCAACTCGCGGACAAAAGCTACTCAACATATGCCAAGCCTGTCCTCCCCTTACTCTCCAAGCCGTTCCACTACGTTGCCCCTTACGTCGCCAAAGCAGACTCCCTAAGCAGCCAAGGGCTCAAGCGCGTCGAGGACCGGTTCCCCATCGTCAAAGAAGATACGGAAAATATCAAGGGAACCCTGAAGAATTATGTCGACAAGCCATTTAAGGTTGTGCAGGAGGGCAAGCAGCATCTGCTCCAGGTTTATTCTACAGAGTATAAGAACTGCGGGGGTGGCGAAGGGTATGTAAGTGTTGGCAAGGCGGTTCTTATTACCGGCATCATCATTACATCAGAGTCTTTGGAGTGGTTGAAGGGGTTTATTATGAAAGCGGAGAAAGAGACCCAAAAAGGCGTTGGGAAGGTTGCTAAGAAGATCCATTCGGAGAAGGTTGCTTGAAAATGAGGGATGGTCTCTGCTGTCGTACCGCACCTGAATGCGGCCTTGAAGTTGAAAATTGAGAGGAGGAGGGGGGGGGGGGGGGGGGGAAAGGGGCGAAAAGTCGTTCAGATGTTGATGTTTTAAAAAATAGTTTCCTTGTTTTCTGGCATTCTGCTGTTGGATGGGTTCTTTTCTGGTTTCTTCAAGTCTTCTTTTTGTGTAATATGAGGTACACTTTGCTCAAATCTTTCTGGGAGGAAGCATACAGCCATGTCTACTCTTTCATTAACTACTTCTGACGTCGTGTTGGGAATATAGGGTTTAGGCGCCTTAGGGTTTAGGCGCCTTTTGACACTTTATTATCATTTTTGTTTATTCAACTAGATTTGCTTCTCAATCCCCGACTGTCCTTTTTCCTTCTTTAAAAGTAGTAACTTCATTTGAGCTCAGACTGATTTCACATGTGCACTTCAGCTTTCAAACGGCCTTTTTCCTAATAGCTTCACGCTGATTGTCGAGTGAATCATGTTGTTGATATGTGTGCAATTGCGAGCTCAACATCTTCCCAAAAATGATGATATCATAGGCATATTTTTTTTTTTTTCCAGTGGGTTTTGCGATTCTTGACTTTTGAATTTTGCATGTGAAAATCAGATGGAGCTTTCGCTAATTATGCTTACTACGGAGGTAGTTAAGGTTATGTTACTCTCTGTACAAAAAGCTCAGCTTGCCTCCTAGGTAAACTTACACATCCTGAACCCTGGAACATGCCCGATACGATTGCAAATATAGGGATAGCATCCGAAGGCGGGAAAAATATCCGCCTTTGGGAAATAGTATATGTCAATTTAGGCAGAACTTTCAAAGCCCGTGGTTGGGGTTTATCCAGCTTTTGCTATGCCCGCTGAGGGTTGACATTTAACTAGTTTAAATAAGCGGACAGGCGAGCGGTAACTAACCAACTTACAGTTAACGATGGAATCTGCGCGTTTATTTAGGGCCCCCCCGCCCTTTGTTCATTCAAACCACCACTTCATCCACTATCTATCGCCTTTACGCTGAGTGATTACGGCAAAAGTTTAAGATTATTTTTGGGCATTGCCAAAAAGATTTCCATGAGGGTTGTTTGAATATTCCCCAATTCACCCCATCTTACTTATGGATGATACGAATCAACGGATTTCAATCAAAGGATCAAGGCTGATAATTGTGTTTCGTGCCTGTTGGATGACGATATCCGGTGGAATCTATAGATGTGCAACGAACGCAAGACAATGCAATTCCCCAGGGGAACGGAGTCTGCATCAGGCATAGAGCCGGCTGCAAATCCACTACTTGTAGGACTGATGAAGGGGTCTGGGAGTTCAAGGCAAAGGAGAGTTCTGTCATTTTTCCAATCCAAGATCTTTTGTCACTTCTTGGGATATCAAACATGCGGCACTCGCCACTTACGCCACCCAACGCACGATTACAAATTCGGATTTCTCAACATATTATTGGTTGATTATATTTAAGAATAATATAAAACTTTCCTTTTTATTTTGATATATTAACTATATAATTTCTTTATTTATAAAGTCTTTAATAATACTTTAATATATAAAGTAAAATATTTTAATATTTAAAAGAAGAATTAAAGTCAAATTACCTTTATGAAAATAATGGATATTTGATAGATTCTAATATAAATATTTTGAATAATTTTCTATAACATCAGCGGTTAAAATCCAAGTGCAGTTGAGTGGTAAATTGTTTTGTCAGTCACGGTACGGTCGTATATTTTATTGTCATAGTTTTTGACGGAAGACGCCGCCAGCAAAGAGGATAGATATGGAGTCAGCCTTCAAGAAGTTATGGCTCCGAGTTCCAAGCTTCGGCCCCCTTGTCAGATCGACTGAGGATACAAACTGGAATGGGGGTTGCTCGGATTGGTAACTAACCGAGGCGAGGCGAAAACAGCGAGATGGAAACGTATCCGTTGTGGTATCTTCTTGGTTTTGTTTAGAGTGTTGTCTGCCTGCTCACAGCCAGCCTATGGCATGCGCAAAAACCCAATCGTGTCCGGAAAGTTTAACCTTTTCCCCCCCTTGTCTGATCTCGGAAACGATTCTGAAAAAGCTGAATCATTCTATGCAATTCCCAGGTCCTTATTCATCAAGATCTGGAATTTGGCCGTCGCATGAGATAACTACGATATATCACGCATTGATATCATGGGATATCTGCCTTCAGCCACGCCGGTAGTTACCTGCTGTTTATCATAGGAACAAAAGCAGCTTCGTCGCTGGCCGAAGATGGCGGAGTTCAACAATCGGTGTCTCGCTTCTCTTCCCCCTCATTGTCTCGAGTCCAAACCCGTCGCCCAGCGCAATAACTATCTCTCGCGAAATATCATGGGCTGGCTATTCTTGAGAGTTTCCTTTCTACTTCTTTCTTCTTCGCACTACGTCTTGTCCGTAGAACCAGCACATACTTCTTAGGCTGTTCAATATCAATTTGTTATTCGCTTGATCACACCTACGTAAAATTCCTTACAGACACTTAGAGAATGAATGGCGGGCGAGAGAGAATGGTTATGGAGAGCGAAATGGGCGATTCATATGACACTTCATATTTTGCCAAGATCTACACGCTAAGCCAAAAGGATGACATTAGGATAGGTAGATTGCCAAAAAGAGGCGTAGAAGGTACTAGATTCTTGCTCTTCCCGCCTGTTATATATATAGCCTTCTAGGCATACTAATAATAATGCTATTGGCATTGTCAGGCCTTTTCTTGGCTTATCTGCAAACTGCGCTTGAAATCAGGCAACACCCACTTGTACCATCCACTCTGACTTGAGGACCTCTTCGGCTGTTGGTCGCTCTTCTGGCCGGAATGCTAGCATTTGACGCATCAATTCTAGGAGAGCGACCGTTTCCTCCCCGTCAAACTCACCTACTCCACGCTTCCGCCGATACTTCTGCACTTCTTCCTCAAATGCTTCATCAATTGGAGGCCACACATCCCGGCATTCTTTCGGACGTCCATTCTGGTTGAAGAATTGACTCCGTTCGTCCCATCGCTCCCACCAGCTTAATTAAGGGCATTGGTCCCAGCACATCAATTTGCTGAGAGATTATGTCATCCGCAGTCGCGAATTCGCTACTGAAAATAGCCTTCATACCAAGAATCTCCCAGATTGTTGTGGCCAGGCTCCAAATGTCTGCTGAAAATGAGAGCGGGGCCTGCGGATCGAATCGGGCTTCGGGGGGCCGCATAGCTAACGGCGTGTGACAGTCTTCCCCGCGACGAACCTCCAAGGCTGGGGGCAAATGCCTCGCCAAAGTCACTAAGAAGCACCTGCGCGCGTCAGACAGTGAGAATTCTTCTGCATTTTTCCCAAGGCGGAGTGGGATCACTGCCTTTGCGGGGACACTGGGTGGAAGTGATTTGCCGTTGCGCTGCGTACTGGGGACTGTCTCAGGCTTGCCATATTCCTCATATAATTGCTTGATCGAGAGCTGATCGAAACTTGATGGGAGTTTAACTAAGATGTTGCGAAGATGGATATCTAAATAAAGATGAGTAAGTATTAGCTGAGGAGGATTCAGACACAAATAATTGTGATTATGACAATGACACACCTCCATGGGCATAGCCTCGTGAATGCATATATGCAATAGCTAGTGTGAGGCCACCCGACAGCGCCCCGCGCAACTTCAAGAGGAAATAGGGCGGCTAAAAGAGACCTCCCTGAGATTGCATCGTGCGGGAGTAACTGTGTAGCATGGATGAGTTCCATTGGGGCCGTGTAGCTTGAATTCATCCAGGATGAAAGGAATTGAATTGCGCCCTGGATGTAGGGACGAAGACAACGGCAGTGGCGCGGAAAGAGCTCGCAGAATCTTAGTCTCATGCGGAAGCGAGTTTGCTATGCCGAACTTTGACAGCAACGTAGTGCTTCAGATGAGAGTGTCTTGGGCTAGCCAAACAGTTGAATAGTCTCCAAAACCCCAGCTTGTCCACGATGCGGTATCGCTCGTGTAGTGTATCCCCAATCATGATAGGATGATAAACCCCCAGGCTTGTACCTTTCAAGTGACTCTGCGCCGTCGATCCAGTTGTACGCGAAGCAGCGATGCTTCCTTCCATCTTCTTCCCCGCGCGACATTGTCGTTGATGAATAAGAAGATGAGAAGCTCAACCCAACCCTTCCGAGAACGGCAAATGGATGGTGGGCGTGACAATGGAGTCGAGAGTTGAAGGGACTTCGATGGCAAGAAAACAAGAATAAAAGAAGTGGCTCTTTTTGAGTAGCATGCCATGATAAGTAGAAGTGGTTTGATGGGTTGGATTGAAGAACATGGAAAAAGAAAACCTATGCGCCCGCCTGATCCATTCATTTTGTTGAACCGTCAGTTACTGCTCAATGAACGCTCCACCACAATCAATGATTAGGCAATCGACAAGCTACCACCGTCGAAGGCAAACATGTCAAAGATCCCAAAGGCTGGCATCATGGGGGGTACACGAATGACACAGAGGACTTCATCCTAAATGAGGCAACACATACTCCCCAGGGGAAGGAAGACAAAACTCCACGGGGTGGAAGGGGATCTGGAAAGGTTCTTTGGCCAGCTGAAGAGGACCTGCTTAGACGAATATACGAATATGTGGACAGTCCCGTCGGATACTCGCACATACCACAGAAATTAAGAGCCGGGAAGGATGCAAGGAGCATTGGAGGGAGATTGATACATATATTTCATTTTGGCACCAACTTGGGCACTGTTTAACGTATTGGTCCATAATCCTAACATTATCCTTTTATTTGCTGCATGCTGGTCCCAAATATTATTCTACAGGGATGTCTAGATATACCTTTTTGCCTTCACTTGCGTCGAAAAGCCAGTCTCTGCAAGGCGGCCGAAGAACACAGAACGTCCTCGCCTGGAAAGCATGGACAGTTATCATCTGGTTCGGGCGAGTAAATGTTTTTGATTTCAAAACCCAGTGTTGTGTGCCAGGAGGAACGGTTCAGAGCTTCACAGAATATATAAATGGAAGTGAATTTTTAACTTTCCCGTAAGGTTGACACTTCACTTTGCCTAGAGGTTCCGCTCTACTCCCCTACCTCTAGTTGATCGATAGAAAGTTGAGGTGTTGGATGTTTCCCCACCAATGAGGCCCGGATTAAAGATAGTCCATCTTTAAATCGCGAAGCATTCCTCCTGTACATTATGTAGTTCAAGGTATTGCATTCGACGCATTCATTCTACTTAGTTTACTGCAAAGCATGCATTAGCGAACGGGACTGCCCGGCAAGCATGGCCACTGAGTATCGTAAGAGAATTTCATTTGCCTGATCAAGGCGGAAGGCGCCAGTTACGTCACATATAGATGGAGTGAAGCCGGTTCTTTGGGGAGGGCAATCTATAGGACCATACACAAAAGGCTCCAAGCTAGGCAGCAAAGCTAGGATTACAACCTGAGAAAAGAAAACCGCAAAATGGGTATTGAACAAATAACATAAGAATCCACACTTCAATCAGCGCTGATACCATCAATCGCCATGTCAAAAGCCTTGATGATTGGCCCATAGACAATCTCTGGGTCCTTAGGTGTCCCAGTGAAAATTGCATCGTCACGTATTGGAAACAAGATGCTACGCAGCTTGTTGCAAAGGGATTTGACGCAATTGAACTCAGGCGGAAACTCCTTTGCAAGAATGCGCTCAAAGCCATTGGCATCGACATTCCCTCGTTTAGCATTGGCGATCTCTTCGTAGTTTCCGGTGTACTGTACCACTTCGTGAGCAGACTCGGTGTAGGTTGGCCCTTCGGATTGCCGACAGACACCCAGCCGCGACGAGAGCACTGCCAGAGAAGAACATAAAAGAACGACTCGAGATCATGCCGATAAGTATGGTCAACGTTGAGCAGGACCTCAATAGCCATAAACTCCATGGCACCGGTCACGACAGCGTGCGCCACTGCGCCCGCTGCCGAGCTCCATAGCGAGATCCATATCAATCAGCATCCCAACGAAGCCAGGTTTTTTTTTTTTTTTTTTTTTTTTTTTTTTTTTTTTGCATCGGTTATGATGATGTTTATTTTCAGAGATATCTCGATGAAGGAATGTTTCCTTTGAAATAAAGAGATCTGTGCGCCTTGACAGCATCACGAAGAGCTTCCAACAACTCCAACTGGGACTTGTATTCGTGGATGGGACGGCCTGCGGGAAAGATGACGACAAGACAGCGAAGAACGCAGTTGTCATATGGGCTGTTGCTGGGGAGACGTTGGGGCGTGTTTATGAAATAAAAGCGGCGTAGGTTTCGCGTCACGTGTCCAGGTATGGGCTTAAAACAGCGTCGAAAATGGGATGCTCTGAGTGGCCGCCACCCCCCCCCCCAATCTTACAGACTATAGAGGTAAATGCAGCATGCAGGATATTTGGGACCCAACCGTTTGTTTAGACCTTTTCGTATCAAGGAATGAGCAGTGTGTGAGCTCTGACTGCTCGATTTTGTCTTTTGTAGGGTTCAACTAGGATATATGATTGTTATGTTGAGTTACTGTTGCGCACTGTGATAGTAAATAAAATGGGTTGGATTTTCTACATTCGCCAGCAATCGTGTAAAGTAGTTATCGTATTTGCAAAAATAACAACGCCTAGAATGTTGTGATTCTACGGAGGAGGGATTTCTACTTGAGATAGCTGTACCACGCATGATTCCATTCAGTCTTTCTGGGCTTCTTTGCGCGCCTATGTAAGTTAAGGCTGACACCCGCTAGAATCAATCCATCAGATGGGGGGGGGGGGGGGGATCTTTACGGCAAACTGCCATTCTCCAACCCACCAATCCATTACCCACAATCACCGAAGAATAGCAATGTAGTTAAGATAGATAGATAGATACCTATGAGACATTGTGGCCTTCTTGAACGTCATACCTCAACGGGCCCTTCCGTTGTTCTGTGATTTAACCAACGGCGCTGTGAGAACTTGGCAGCTTCCCCAGTCTCGTATAACTATTTACGAACACCAAATACGATGGAAGTTTATTGCTTTGACTCGGCGGAGACAGATGATATGAAAAATTTCCTTTCTTCAACAAAGAACTCGGGAATCCGTTGTCCCAATAATGCTGCTGGTCACAGATTCACATTGACAGATGCATTGATCCTATTCCAACCAGCTACACTGTTTATGTAGGTTTCGCCTTTCTGCTCTCGCGCATTGGGGGCCATCAAGAACGTCAGGCAAGGCAAGTCTGCGCTGCATGTGCAATCAATAGACTGCTAGCAATTCGTGGCTGAGTCTAGCGTTAGTTGGGATGGAAGCTCACTTCAGCCGCCTCAAGTTGGTCAGCTCGTTACCACAAGAACGAGCAGTTGCAGAACTAATCCGTCAGTCAGCCTGGAATTTGTGGAGAACACATTAGAAAAGCCCCCGCCCATGCTTTGCTAAACCTGGTTTGGGGGGGTTGGAGAACCCCGCAAACGGGGAAGTGTTTGATCATCATGTAATAAGTAAAGGCAGATGCGGCTGCTCTGCTCCTTTAGCTTGCGTAGTTATATTGACGACTCTCTGACTCAATCATAAAGACTTTTATGCAAAAGACTGTCTATTCTCTCCCATTTTGAGTGCTTGTGTCCGGTCTCCCGCAGCTCTTCGAGCGGGCTGACTCCCGCCATACCGAGATAGTGGTTCTCCTTGTCCCCGATACTAAGAATAAACTACTCATGCAGATCTGAAGAAGCCCCCCCCCCCCCCGTTGTTATTTTCATAAGCCTCATCCCGTGAACCTTTTACTTTGCGCAACCCCCAAATCCTCCTAGGACCTCACATCATCCCTCATATAACTATTAAAACGAAGTAATTTACATTGCAACAATTGTTAACCGCCCCAGTTCCCGCCCATCAAGATCAATATGTCTGCTTCTACCAACTTGTTAGATACCCCCAGCACCTCAACTGCAACCAACGGCAAAGCACCGACTCAGAGCGGACCTCTGTCAACCGACGTAGGCTTCCGTCCATCGAACAATGGGATCGTGAAAGTGCAGCCAGCGCGTCTGGAGGATTTGCAGCCCAGCTATGCGCAGGTCCTCAGACATCCCGATGGCGATGCCACTGTCCACGGATGGTATGCGTCGATGAGTGAGTAATGCCAGCACACCGCTCCTAAAGTGAAGAAACAACAGCAGGGCTGAAACCAAACACCATTTTAGTCCACACTCTGGGTGAAACGATCGGTTTCCTTGGTGCCATCCCTTGTTGCTTCTGCTGTCCCAACCCTTTCAAACCCATCGAACAGGGTGAAGTTGGCTTGGTTACGCGATTTGGTCGCTTCGAACGTGCCGTTGACCCGGGTCTCGTCAAGGTCAATCCTCTCAGCGAACATTTGACAACGGTCGACGTGAAGATCCAAATCGTCGAGGTTCCCCGACAGGTCTGCATGACCAAGGATAATGTCACCTTGAACCTGACCTCCGTGATCTACTACCACATCACCTCCCCACATAAGGCTGCCTTTGGTATCACAAACATTCGCCAGGCGCTCGTTGAACGGACACAGACAACGCTTCGTCACGTTGTGGGAGCTCGTGTATTGCAGGATGTCATCGAGCGCCGCGAGGAGGTTGCTCAGTCGATTGGGGAGATCATCGAAGAAGTTGCTGCCGGCTGGGGTGTTCAGGTTGAATCTATGTTGATCAAGGATATCATCTTCAGCAACGAACTGCAGGAGTCCCTGTCAATGGCTGCGCAATCTAAGCGTATTGGAGAAAGTAAAGTGATCGCCGCCCGCGCAGAGGTGGAATCAGCCAAGGTTCGTAATAAACATAGCTATCCACAATACCCTCGTTTTGCCGAAATATATCCACTAACACTGTGACACACACTCTCCAGCTTATGAGAACCGCCGCCAACATCCTCTCCTCTGCCCCCGCCATGCAAATCAGATATCTTGAAACAATGCAGGCAATGGCCAAGACTGCCAACAGCAAAGTCATCTTCCTACCAGCTATCAACCAGACCGTCCAAGACCAACTCAGAGCCGCTGACGCGGTCGGCGAAGGCCCGAGCCAATATGGCCAGTCAATCGAAACAGACACTGACGGGTTTCAACAGGCAATGAAGGCCCACATTGTCGAGGATATCTAAACGTCTTTCACTGGTTTTGCTTTGCCCATGTCTATATTCCCCTCTTATATATTTTCCCCAGTAAATTTCCTCTAGGAAACCGTCTGATTTTCAGCTCTGGAATTGCAGCGATACCCTTTCCCATGTTTTAATTACTCTTTTGAAATGGCTTTTTTTGCTCTCACCGCTTCGTTTCTTCTCCCACACTAGCTATTTATTATATCTTTCGTTTCAAACGTGAATATGTGCTCATATGAGTCGTTCGTTAATTTTCTCTGTATTCCACTCCCCATTTTCTTTCCTCTTCCCCTTGGCAATCAATCGATCACCGCCCTACGCTTAAAGCGGGTATCGCAAGTTCAGCTCATACTAGACATATCAGCAGGATTTACTCAAACAATAACACTCTAGTGTTCAATCTACTCCGCATCACTTCAAATTAACTTCATGATAGCATGTGTTTATATTAAATATCTGTATTTGAATTAATCAACCCTCCTTTAACTCTTCATCCCCGGTATGACCACCACAACACCCGGAGGGTTGTCAGTGATGGGACGGAATACCGGGAGGTTATCTGAGATTCCTAGTAATGGTATTGTGTATTGTATTATTTAATGAGGGTGACCGGTCTAACTTGCTCCGTACTCATACATAGCAAACGGAAAGAGGGAATAGAAAGACAAAACCCTCGACTAACAAAGAAGCTCAACCGCCAAAAAGTTGAAAGTTCGCCTTACCACATCATCCAGAAAAAAAAAAAAAAAAGGAAACAAACAAATAAATAAAAATCTAAGACTTCCCCAGCTGGACACAAAAGAGAAAAAAGGAATCCTCAACCACGACAACCTCAAAACGTAAGGGTGTAAAAATCAGAAAATTAGCCAATCTGCTCCAACTCGGGAAACACCATTCGTAGAACATTTTGCGCTATTCAGTCGAACCTAGGTACGCACCACCTATTCTCCCATCGAAAACCGTTTTTCTACCGACCTGGCTTTGCAAGCATATACCTCACCGCCTCTGCAGCAACAGGCGTATCCCACGCACTATTCGTTCCACCCCGTCTAAACTCCGGTCCACTCCCATCCTCCCCGCCCCCACGGGTTGCTTCACCCAGAATAACCTCCAAATCACGCTTCTGACTACTAACCCAGCGCTTGATGAAGTTGGCCGGGTCCTCGCTGAGTGATTGGAAAAAGGCGTGTCTGGCTTTGGAATGCGTGATTGCCTGAATGATGAGGGCGAGCTGGTCGTCGAGATTGGCGACTTGGCGGAGCATGTTGGGGTATTCTGGTGTTGTGGTTATTGCAAGCATTTTGGCACGGAGGGGATCGTCCACTGCGACGCGGATGTCGTAGACGGTTGGTGTTGGGTTGCTGTGGAATTCGGGGTCGACGCGGATTGTGTAGGAGAGTTTGATGGGGTCTAGGGGGGAGGTGTGTGCGCTGACGCTGTCCGGGATGGCAGGGAAGAACATCTTCTCTCGGTTGAAGAGCTTGAGAGGTTGGTTAGTACGCATTTAGATAGTGAGAGGAAGGGTTTGAAAGTGAATAGCCAAGTAAAATGGGAATGAAAGGGTTGATATACAGCTTGCAATCGATCGTCACATCGTATTGCGCGTTTCTCATCATTTTCTTGAAGCCCCATAGCTTTTATATACTCCCATATGCCAACAACGATACCACCACGTGCTTCCTCATCAGTATCCAAGAGTGACGCTAGCTCCTTGCTCAATTTGTAGCGTTCGGGGTTCTCATCTCGTACGAGCTTGATCGTGGCATTCAGGTTAACTTCAGCAACGCGGGAAAATTCGAGAGAGTCAAAGTCCGCACTGAGTGGAAGTGATATGGAACTAGGCGGTATGGTAGGTTTGTTCCAATTGATAGTGGCCATATCTGCAACACAAGGAGATGACGGCTTGTCAAATTCTATCGTTATCGACTTGAAGAAATGCGACAGGCGTTTCCGTTGTGGGTGTGCATGGTTATTGGGCTTATTTTTCTGCTTCTCTGATAAGTTTTCCTCCATCACATCGGGGTCATTCTTGCCGTTTGTCTTAGTTTCTTCGTCCCCGCTGTCACTTTCATCTGATTCAGCAGCATCAAGTTCATCATCTAGCAGTTTTCCTTCAATTTTGACCTTGTACCGTCCAGCAGTGGGTGCACCACTACTAGTTTGCCCTGATTCTCGTTGCCACGGCTGGTTTTCCACAGTATTCGAAATCCAGATTCGCAAAGTTCGGAACCTTTTCACAGATCTAGTAACGGAATCCTGTATATCCAACCTCTTCCTCATCATAACCGCATCCAAACGTTTTTCGACATCTCTCATCATCTTGTATTGGGTGACGCCTTCGCCGATGACAGCCTCCTCGACGCCATCGGGAAGATTCTTGTCCGTTGGCCTCCTGCTCCGCCGCAAGGCGGTATCAATAGGGTTGGGGACATTTCGCTGGCTGAGGTGCGGGTTTGGAACAGGATGCTGTGCGAGGGGAACTGGCATCATCGGCCCTAAAGAATTTTTCGCGTTAATTTATAAAGTTATGGCCATGTGAAAAGGGGGTTTACGCGCTAGAAATAAAATAAAAAATACGACCGGCTCGGAGAAACGGATAGAACGGGGAAACACTGGGCATACCGTGGATGGGAACACCTCGACGTGGAGTAGTAGGAGAACGATGGTAAGTGGCCTGAGGAGGATAGCCACGGTAGTTGGGCTGCATGGCGGCGTTCATGATGGGACTTAGGCGGATACTCGGGGAAAGGGGCACCACCAGCGGAGCGAGGATGCCCCAGCAAGAAGAAAGGGTTAATTAACGGGAATTGTGGATGTGTTGCCAATAAACCGATTAATCTTCCCGATGCTGAGGACCAGGGACAGGAGGCGCGGTTCGAAGTTCGGACGACTGGTGCTGGCTACCGTTTCGGGGGTTGTTTGCGCTGTTTGCTAGATATCACGTGAATAGATTCTGCTAACTTTTGAGTAGCCGATCACTAAAAATATCTTTCAATGTCCTAATCAATCGACTTCAACGCGTGAGAATGCCACCAATTCATAGTGAAAATGCGAAGAAACTTTATAGAGATGGAGGAAAGTCTTCAACTCAACAATTCCAGCATTTAAAAATCAAGAAACAAGCTCAATTCAAGAAACTGCACCTCTATATAATGTTCCTTATACAGCTCTATATGATTGGTTGAATGAATGGATAGATCAGTCTATGCAAAGTCCACAAAATGATTAAAGCCGAAGAGAATCTGCTAGTTCAGTGAATTCTTGACCTGGTGAAATGAAAATTGCCATCTTAGCTAACATTTATTGAGCTAACTAGTTAAGTTAACTAGTTAGTTAATTATTTTTTTACCTGATAATATCTGTATTGAAAAAGATTTAATATCAAATTTAATAAATATTATATAAAATTTTAATATTGTTAATTTAATCATTATAATTAATCAAATTAAATATAAAAATAAAAATATTATTTAAATTTATTAAAAATATTTATAATTTTAATAAAATTTGATAAAACTAAAATAATATAATTAAAATAATATATATAAAATTAAAATTTATTTTATATATTATTTTTAAAAGTGATTATTAAAAAATAATTTAATAAATTTCATAAAGTTAAAAGTTTAATATTAATAAATTATAAATAAAATATTAATTATAGTGTCTGAAGTAACAGATCTGAAGCTCAAAATAGCATGTCACTAGATTTGACACTTAGTTCTTGCCAATATAAGAGGGGGTAGTGATGAAGATAATAAAAGTTTGTATAGTAAGAAGATAATTAGCTGTATTTTCAACAAATGCTAGCTGTGAGGAAAATCTTCATTTAACTTGATTCAGCACTCATTCAACTAGTCTATTCTCTTTAGTCTGGGTTAATTTGATTGAATTTGCACATAGATTCATGTGAGCAGTTCAGTTATTGAGTTAATAACTTAGAGTAGATAATGACACATCAAATACATATGTAGCTTAACAGATTGAGGAGATTTCTTGCTTTTTTAAAGCATTTGTCATGAGTTCAAGCCTTCCCTCTCCCTCAAGAGAATTTGAAATATTTTTATTGCAAATTAATAGCATAATTGTGCATTAAGATAAATAAGTAGTTTAATGAGAAGATATTTTTAAATTGATGATCTGCTTACTTGAGTGTTTCACTCACTTGAAAATTACATTAGTTTTATTATATATTATTTAAATTAAAATAAATTTTCTAATAATTAAATATTTAATTTCATAAATTTATTATTTTAAATTTATAAATAATTGTTCAATAATTTTTAAATTAATTATAAGTAGATAAAAAGTATAAATTTTAAAAATTTTAAAAATATTATTATTTTATTAACTTAGATCTTCCTTTATATTTAAAAGAATTACATATACTAACCGTTGTTGCGGTGTCGCTTTGGAGCCCTCGGCTGCGGCGGTATTGCGTACGGACCGCATACATACACCTATGCCGCCCAACCTCAGGGTTGGGGATTAAATATTTAAGAGGCCACCCCGACGTCAATCTCCTCCACCCGGTGCTCACCCGGATCACCCAGCTCGCCCACCACTCACCCTTGCAGTGTAGAGCGAGTCACGATGAGCCGGCTGAGCGACCAGCGGGCACTCAGATCCCGCATACGTGCATGGAGTCTCAACTTCGCAGCACCCGGCTTACTCAATTCTGCGCGAGTTAGCATGGAACCGCCGGCCACCATTTCCCCCCCTCCCCCCCCCTCCATAAAAAGGTGGCCTCCATCCCAGAGCGTTTATAATGGAATCTGCGCTTGCGTACCACTTGCTCTCTTTCTCTTGCTGCCTTGCTGCCTTGCTTATTGATCTCTCTTCTACACTTCCTCTCGGTTTCTGCTATACCGCTCGTTTCTGTCTGGAGCCGGCTGCTCTGTGCTCCCAACGAAAAAGGCCACATACGGATGGCCGTCACCAAATCACGAATAAAGGTGACGGCCGCCCGAACCTCTTCAGGCCGATGCCTGAAGCTGGCGACCACGGACACTAACTTCATCCAAAGGGCCAGGGACCATGAGTCCGCCGGCCGGACGAAAAGCACAGCGTGAATTAACACTAAGATAGGCTTGCAAACGGTGTGGAGGAAACTACTGATGTGGAGATGGCTTCTTGACTTCCCTCCTGGTGAAATTGGACAATCACTTGCTAACCTTGGACGGTCAGTTTCTGCACGGAGAAGTTTTAGACTATCCCTCATCAGTTCATGTGGTGATTCGCGATTCAGCGTTTCAAGAAACTTGGTGCAGTCTTTTCGCAACACCAAGTATGATGCAACGTCGAACAGGTGCTTTATTGCCAGAAACCGAGGAAGACTAGCAGCAAGCTGAAAAGGTTTATATCCAGGAAAGCCTCAATCAATGATTCTATTTAAATAAGGTTAGCGGTGTGTAATATTGACTTGAATATAGTGAGCCACACTCTGTGATGTTGTATTCCGAATCCACAATGACATTTTGAGGAGATAAATCGCCATGATCAATGAAGAAAGAAGCATTCTCCAGCTCTTAATAAATTACTTTTTAAACTAAGTTTCGTAAAAGAGAGCACTGCATGGTCTGAATTTTGGAAAGCTGGCCTCGACATGCGAATGATTTTCTGGTTAATCTTGTCTGTAAAATACTCGACTGTTAATCCGCCTATAGTTAACTAATGATTAGCTCCATCTTGTCGAGGTTTAATCAAATAGGACCAGCCAACCGTCTATTTGCGTGCGCTCAATGAGACATATTATGCTATATATATATATATACCTGTCAATTGAGTAAAAGATGTCTTTTCTTGGCCATACACACATTGATCTCTCCTTTATTAATATTGCATCACCGCCTGGTCCTAGCAACGCGATATTGTGTAAAGCCACATGTGCCACAAGCCTTTCCTGAGAAGGCGACGAAAGCTCTAGCAAATGGATAAATCAGCACAATCTCAGCACTTGAAGACATCCAACATACCGATTGCTTCAAAAGAATAGTTACTTAGTATTGAAGGTAGACTGAACACGGTTACATGTCATGAGCCCACAGACTTTGCAACAGCCAGATAGCCATAAATGGCCCTCCATTGCATAGCGAGCAACGCCAGGGTAGGATATTTCCGTTGCTTGCTTGAAATATTGCCCCATTGATGTGGGCAAGTAGGTTCCTAATTTCGAATGAACCCGAATTCGCGAGGAATATATATATCTGATATTTTCTAAAAAGTCTCCGAATTCAGCCCACGTCCTTTAACCAAAATACCCATGTGAGTGACACCATTCTGGATTTTGCTTACTGGGAATGAGGAGAATGCTTTGGCTTTAGTCTGATATGTTAGATGATATGCTTGGTACAGTACTGCTAATCTGTTCTTGCCAGTAAACCTAATGCGGGGGATGGAGATTTCTCTTTTTACCTTGAGAACCTTCACTAATTTTGGTATACAACACAACAATTCAAGATATGGTTAAATAACGTCGCTCCTGTACGTGAAGCTGAAGTGGATAGGAACAGCGCAGGTGGATCTCTGAAGGGTGGGGGGAACCACCGTGTGTAGTGAGATTATTGGCATTAAAAATACACGCACGCTTAGGGAGTTTTAGCTGGCCGGTATTTCTAAAAAAAGATGAAGAGCAAGGGCTTCTGGATGCTTAAAGAGATAAAAGAGTACGTCTGTCGCGATGGTTGGCATTTTTCAACTCTCAAGTTATTCAAGCCAGCCCCTTTTATGTCAGTCTAATGTTCCAAGCTTCATATTCCCTTCTTATCTTTCTTAGAAAAACATCCGCCAGTAATAAAATAATTGTGATATGTAAGTTCAAGTCCCATTCCCACTGCAAGGTCTGGTGATAGGGCAGGAACCCTACAGAGAAGGCAACAGGACAACACCTCACATCCACAAGCGGAGAATATAGCCATGCAGTAAGAAAGCATACTGCCAAACAATTGTCTTCACTCAACTTCCATAGCCTCAGCCCTAGCCCCCTTCCCACCCCTCTTCCCCTGCACAAACACAACAAACTCATCAATAGCCCTGGGCCACGCTCCATCCTCACTCCACCAACTAAGTGACTCATCCTCCATCGTCTTCCGCATAAATACCTCAACCTGCTCCCACAAGTCCTTATTAACAGGCCGCTTGAGCTGCCCATCGACGAATTCAATCCACCAATCCAACCAGGGGGTGGTGAGGGTGTTCCAGCTAACCCCACCGCTAGAGGAGGTGAAGTAGAGGCGCCATTGATCCGTGGCTATTTCCTGAGTGAGATTTCGTTGGCCTGGTAAACGACAGATGGCGAATGTATAGCGGTATACGCGGCGGAAGAGATCGGGTTCGTTGGGGAGGCTGACACGAAGCTTTGCGGCGTAGGAAGCTTGTTTTGCAATTGTGTCGCAGCTTAGTTGGGTTAGTATGTTTGCTGGGAATTGGGGGTAATTGGAGACGGGAATGGAGAAAAGAGGAGGTGTATTGATTTAGACAGATAAAACGCACTTGACATTTTTCCATCCTTCAACAAAACTTTCTCGTGTAAATTCTCCCATAGATGGAGAGCGTAGAAATTCTGCAATGGCAAGGCAAACAATTTCATCTAGATTTACTTTGATGTCGCCTAGGTATTTAATCACACCTTCAATGCCGATGGTATTCGGATTTTCACCTGATTTGTTTATTTATGCTATTAACTTTAATCTGTTTTATACACAAGCAAACACAATCGAA